GTGTGTGTGTGTGTGTGTGTGTGTGTGTGTGTGTGTGTGTGTGTGTGTGTGTGTTTGTAGTCTGAGCCAACATACTTCATACGCATCAGATGGATCCGTGCAGCAGCTCTGTGCTTGAACTCAAAAAGAAGTCAGTCAGACGTTAGATCTGAGGACTTGTTCTTTGCTTAACTGGGTTATCAAGATGCATGTTCACGTTGACCAAGCATCACCTTCCTGCTTGTGTGACCACCCCTAGGCGTTGTTTTCTTTCAAGATTTTTCCAAAAACAAACCACACGCTCTTTAAAACACACCAAACGCAAGGCTGATTTTCCGCTGAAGACATTCCAATTGGTTCTGATTACAGATCACAAGTGGACACAGAGGTGGAACAAAGGAATCATTTTCACGCTGAAGCGGGATGAAAGTGTCGAGAAGCTGAGCTAGAGCTGCACAATCGGACGTTTGAGCATCGTCATCGCAGTGTGAGAAATAGTCATATTGCAGGTCCTGTAATGTAGGAGGCAAATTAAATCATGGTGTTTTCTAGAGGCTAAAATACCACAAGTTATTTAACTAAACGGTTGCGTGCTACTGCTGTTATTTTGATGGGTTGCTTCAAAAAAATAACTAAACTTTCCATTTCTGAAACTCCTGAGACAATAATAGCAACAAGAGAAGTAATGTCAGTGAATTTAGCTGTGGAGGGAGACGAGGATCTTGATAAAAACGAGGAAGATGAGAAAATTCACAGAGAACTTGAGGAGAAGAGGTAAAATACAGTTATTAGCATAAATGCTAATATTAAAGCGTGATGTAAAAAGAAAATAAGATAAACACAGAGGCAACATGTTAGGTGGTAAAACACAAGTCATGTTTGCAGATGATAGAAGCAAATGTGTAATCAGGTCCTAGCACAATAAAAGCAATAAAAAAAAAAGAAGAAGAAGTTTTAAGACAAAAACTACGGAGCCCGCGAGGGGACATGGGAGATTTTTTTTCTTTTGCATTCCCACACAATAGCATTGCGTTACCTCGCAATACCTTTTGCGTTCTGTCGCAGAAGTCCTTTATCACTGTTGTGCCTGCCGGTTCATTAACACATTCACGTTCACCATTAGCAAGTTAGCCTACTGCTTTAATTCAGCTTCAGAATGAATATATCACACAGCCACGCATGGAAGTATGTCATATGCCGATATTTCAACACAGTGCAGCCACACAACATCAATGTCAATTTCACAAACTTGTGGCGACACATCCTGTTTTGGTAACCGGATATTTCAAAATAAAAGTCTGATTTAATTYAGTTCATATACAAAACAAACTTTTGCGTGGGAACGCAAAACAATTTTGTGAGGGAATGCAAACGTTTGCAAGGTAACGCAAAAAGTTTTGCGAGGTAATAGTATTGCGTGGGAACGCAAAAGAAAAAAATTCCCCCATGTCCCCTCGTGGGCTCCGTAAAAAACATACTTGTTACATGAACAAAAAAGAGGTAAGATTGGTGCAGGTTCATCGTCAATAAGACTGTGGCATAACTTAAAGTGTTATTCAAGGCATCTCTTGGAAATTCCTGTGTTTTATTTTTAATCACAATAGAGGTTAAAAAATTGCTGTTTTTACATTTTTTACCAATTTTGTGCAGCCCTAATCTGAAATAAATTTTAAAATGCTGAAAGGTGCCTTGAAAACTACATCTGATGTTTTTAAAATATAATATTTTACATGTCATACCTTGTTTTTCCCTTTGACCTGTTCAGTCGTGGCTATTATGCTCTCAATCCAGTTGTGGGAGTCGTTTCCCTGGTAATTAGTTTTGACCAGGACATTCTCACTGTTACTGTGGCAACTGCAAAACAGAAAAAATAAAAATAAATACATGAATGCTGCTTTTTCATGTTTGAGTTTTGAACTGAAACCATCTTACGATAAAGTGACAGAGTTTTTGGTCCAACCTTATAAAGGATTTTACGCACGATTTCAAGTCATGCTGTGAATTTTTGCGAGGCGTACACGCTGTGAATCAAATCAAACTTTATTTACGTTGCACATCTCATGCATAAAGCTTCATGCTGCAAAGGGCCTCTCCTCAATCAGACAACTAATCCCGGAAGAATCCAGTTCTAGACCCAAAACCTTTCCCCGCCTGTGGTGGTGAACAATCAGCCTGATGAGTGGAGCGACGCAGGAGGAAACGGCAGCAGGAAGGGCTGTGCGTCACCTTGGACAGGAACACCCCCTTTCTTCCTCTCATACACCCCCCCTCCCTCAGCGTGCCCTCTGTCCACAGGAGATAAGGCTGATCCTAAGACCCAGATGGCTCTGCTGAGAACAGCTGATAATGTCTCAACCTGATGATTAAGAGATCTCATCCCTCCTCAAATCCTCCAACTCCAGAAGATGTGATAAGATCCTACATTTTGGATTTACAGTGACATGAACCTTGGATGGACAGAATTGGAAAAAAAGAGCCCAGTTTTCCTCCCAGCAGGCTTTCAGTCTCATTAACTGTGCAGCTAGTCCTGGTGCCAGCCTCGATTATCTTTGGGCCTACAGAAAGACTTTGCTTAACCTCAGCTCCTACTTATCCCAAATATCTACAAAGCACGGGTTGTTCTCTGAGAAAATATGATAAAACTATGGAAAAAAAACTTGCAGATCTGGCATCCGCCACAATTTAGTCTCTTTCTGTGTTGATTTTGTCAGCAGAGTCTGAGCCTGAAGTGTAACAGCCCATTGTTTTGCTGATCTTACGACTCAAAAGGTCTGCTGCAACCACTGACGGACCGGGACCTCTCTGGGAAAGTCTTGATGTTTAATCTGTTTGCGGGTTCAGAACCAGGACAGCTTTCACAAACAGTCGCTCAGAGCTGTTCCACTCAGGGAATCTGAGATCGATATACCTCCCTCATGTTCCCCACTTCGGCCCACAGAGGTCCTGACAAGTGATTTATGTGTTTTCTTTAGGGATGCAGTCAGTCGAGTCCGAGTAGATCTGTTAAAAGTTGGATCCCCGGGTCGGACCGCCAGCTCTGCTTCCTATACTAATATGTTGAACTCAGCGAAGCTGTTTGTCTGAGTTTATACCCCAGATCCTATGAGGTGAACTATTAAGCATAACTGCCTCTGTGTATCTCAAACTATGAGAGGCAGCAGGTAACATCTGTTGAGATATTGAGTTGTGATGATTTTCTGTAGTAAAACTGAAAACGTTTCTTTTTTAAAACAAGTCTTTATAATGTTCTCTGCAGAATCACTCACCATGGATGTTAGGCCAAACAAAAAGATACAAGCAAAACCATTTAACTTAGCAGAAAGGTAAGGACATTTGTGTTTGGTAGATTATTTATTTGCTGCAACAATGCTTCTTAGTAATAAATCTAATGCTGTTGGAAAGCCTGTTAATTTGACTTTTAAATTGTGCCACATTTGTAAGGAACATGCATCTGTGGGATGAGCAGTAGAGCTGAGTACGTGGGTTACACACATGAAAAATTTGCAAACTCTTTTCTGCCAAACAGCTTATTTTGCTGTTATTGACACTTCTGGTCCTTTTAGGTGCTGCCTATCAGCTGTCCAATATAAGATTTACTGCCAATTTCCTTACTTTTTGTACCAAGTATAGTTAATGCATATTTTTGCATAATGCAATATTTTGCTGTGTGAATATTTGATCTGTTGTAGGATTTTTGCTTCAATTTAAAGCAGCTTCAAAAGAAAATGGAACAACCTGAAATGCAAATTTAGACTAAATGTATTTGATCTTTCTATAAAATGTATTTTTAGTGGAATAAAACCAGGTTCCACTGCAGCATTTAGCTTTGTTTCTATCCAGCTGTCATCTCTTAAAATGCTTTCAACTTTAGCAATATAGGGGCTTTGTTACACTTGATAAAAACACTATAATTCCTAAATGGAGATAAAACTATGCTTTAATAAAGAAATTTACTAAAGATTTTCTGGATTATTTAGCCTAATCAGTACATTCAAAATATTTTGTCATATTTTAGATTGTTCATAGAAAGGAACATTTTGTTTTTCATCAGATCGCCTCTGTTCCCAATTTTAAAGGCTTTTCCTCTTCGTAGAAACATCTGCTCCATCTCCATTAAAACCATGTTTTTGACCAGTTTGCCTGCAAGTGATAAACGATACCTGGAAGTATTAAACTATAAATTTCCAATCTTGCTGAAAGCTGGGACACTAAAACTGAGAAGCTGGATTCACTTACCTGTACTCTTGCATTGCAGAGCAAATATCAGCCGTGTTTGAATCAGATCGTACTGCATCGTTAGATGCTCAACTCCAGTTTATGTAAACGTTTTTTTTTTTTTTGGGTGGGAGTTAAACCATGAATCAAGTGTGTGTTTAAAGAGTAGTGAAGATGGTGACTCACTCTATAAGCCTTAGATCTGAGGCACACGGCTTCCAGAACCAAGTGATGTTTGGCAACGGGTTTCCGTAAGAGGAGCAGGTCAGACGCTGCTGCTTTCCAGACATGTAGGGCTGCAAGTCCACGGTGGAGAGCTCTGCCTCCGAGATGGTCGGCTTCACTGTGAGAAAAGAGGCGAAAACAAGGAGAAAAATCAAAGAGAAGCAGGTTAGATCGACCATCCTGACCCTGCTTGTTGTGGTATTTGATAATGTCTTTTTAATGAGGGGTGACAGCCGTGATGGATAGCCATGTGAAATATGCCATTGACACCAATTGTCCTTTAGACACTTTTTTTTGTAGAAGAAGAATGGCAGGATGACAGGTTAACCCAGAGCTGTGAGGTCAAAGAGCGACCCTGCTGTGGCCGACGCACGGGTCATCGATTCAGCCATGTGTTCTGTAATCAACAACAGGCCTGAATACTTGGAGACCATCCACGTCATTCAGCCATTCCTCGCGCTTTGAACAGTTATATAATGTCGCCAAAAAAAAAAAAAAAGAAAAGAAAAAAAACTGCATCCCACGACAAACATAAAGCAAAGCAGAGTGACGATTCCAAACAGAACTGATGAAGTTTTAAATAGCTCTCTAATTGTTGCCAGGAGTCACATTTATATATTTGTGTTTGCTTTATTTTCGTCGTTCAAATAAAAAAAGGGCAAAAAAAGGTTGGGTGAAGCAGAGCAGTCAAGGATCATAAATAAAGATTATACAAGCCAGAAGGGGTCTTATTTTTCCACTTTTTTGGCACGCTAGTGGGATGGTTTTTTTAAAAATATGTTTTTAGAAATGTTGAAAGACCTCAAGCAGAAAGTGACAAGTAAAACCTCTACAACATCTAACAGCCTCATGTGTTAACAGCCATCAGTAGCGCTTCTCGATTCCTCCAAAAGAGTGAATTACACGCTCCGGCCTTGTGTGTCTTCTGATGTATGCTTATTTTACAGAACATGTTTATACTGTATGAGCAGCCCTGCAAACACACGTGGTGAGGAGGCAAATAAATGAGGGGAGGGCTGGAGAGGCTGGAGGCTGTATAAGCACAACAGAGCTCAGACCGTTTACACACTGTGCCAATCCACCCCCCACCCCCTACACACACACACACACACACACGTTTGTTCTTCAACCCCGTGGGGACCGTGCATTGACTTCCATTCATTTTTTTAGACTTTATAGCCTAACCCTGACCATTTACCCTAAAATTAACCTCACAGGTAATTTACCTGACCCTAAAATTAACCTAAACCTTGGTCCTGAACCTAACCCCCCCTACCCGTAATTTGCATTTGAACCCGTGGGGACCGGGCATTGTTCCTCACAATGAACTTCGGTCCCTACGAGGCTGCTTTTTTGGGAAGAAATTCCCCACATTGTAGGAAAAACCCGTCCCCACACACACACACACACACACACACACACACACACACACACACACACACAC